CAGCGCCACTGCTGGCTTTTTCTATGTATGTGGTGCTGAGGAATCAAACCCAGGGCCCCATGCTCTACCTTCCCAGGCCCCACCCCCCAGCTTTCCATTTTTTTAATACAATTTTATTGTTATTATTATAGTTAGAAAATTATTCTACTGAGTTTAAGTAACACAATAAGATAAACCTGATCCATAACTGGCTTTCTTTAAACAGAATATAAAGGCAGTAATGGAACAATTGGCTCTCTACTCTGGCCATAACTGCTTTCAACCAAGGTTAAGCATACATCTTTTAGGCTTTTCATCCTATATAAGCAAATCAAAAGTGTGAAGCCAAACATACTTACTTTATTGCTTTGGCTATCCGGATGAGGTGGTGAATCCAAGTTTATAATGGCATGTAGAATATCGTGTGTCAGATTACTAAGGTGCAATAATGGATTGGCAACTACTGTTTTGGCACTGGCTGTACAAGCAAAGAGGAGAGGCACTGAGGTTTGCTCTGACAGAGGGCTAGGAAACAGTGGGTCTGATGTTTCCTTAAAAACATACAAGAAAAAAAGTTGATAATCCATAGGTTAAACAATTCAGAAAATTCTTTGAGAAACTCCAAAAGTATTAAAAACTTTCTATTTTTATAAATATAGAAACTTAAAAACCTAGAAAGGATCTTAGGAGCTGAACATTTTATCAAACACAATTTAAAATGCAACAAGGAGAAGCTCCACCCATTGCAAGGCATTCATTTAAGGCTATAGAAGAGAGAATTAAGCAAGGCATAGAGCCTGATACAGAACTGCCCTCCAATGATAATATATACACAACTCCACAAGTTCCTAACACGATGGGCTATGTACAAAGGAGAATGCTTTAAAAAGCAATGGTCATAAAGAAAATCAAGTTTTAGTATTTAAAACAGGAAGATAGAACACCAAAAGCTGCTTCATGCATGTTCTATAATTTTTTTAAATTAGTACAGGTTGCCTACCTGCTGACATTCTTGTAAAAGCAAAATCAATTCCATTCTTACAGATGCAAGACCCCCACCATGGGAGCCGTGAAGTATACAGTAACTAAGGAACATTCTCAGGAGTGACTGATATTTCAAGAGCCACTGTCTCTTTTCCTGAAAACTCTCTCTCAGTTGTTTCGCTTTTGTTTGGTGGTGCAAACCATCAGCGTCCTTGCTGAATCCAAATTCATCTCTATTTTTGCCATCTGTGGTGGGCAGTTCTTCCACATCTGAGCAAAAGTCACATGTCCTCTGAAGAGCTACCACCTCTTTCTCAAGCCAGTGGTATAACTGGTAACGTAATTTTCCACCATCTATTTCATAGCCAGTAGACAAAGTACGAAGTTCTACTGTGAGAATCTTTAAACATGCTCTAAATTTTAACTGAACAGCAATTATATCTTCAGATGGGTTTAAAATGTCATTTTCATCTAGGGTGCTAAAAGAGTCTGTATAACTGCTTACTTCATCTAATTTTGCATCTACTTTTCTCTGTAATGGTTTCAGTTCTTTCATGCAAATAGGGAGATCCTCATTTTCTTCATCATTATCACTGTCCCATTTTAACTCTAAAGAATCATCCTGAAACACAACACTTGGCTGGCTCCAATCGAAAGAAAGCGTGGAGCTGGACTGCTTCTCCGAAGAGCCCTCTGAAGAAGAGTCAAAACCATTTGTCAGTGACTGGGACCAGTTAACTGCAGAAGATTTATCTTCTTTTGCATCCAGTTTCACTGGAGAAGAATCTTTACTACTATCCAGAAAACCAGATGCTCTACAAAAAGGTTTTATTTTCTTGATGACTCTGGGCATCTTTGATAATACTTCCAAGGCCAACATAGGACAGCCAGCTTTTAGATGAGCACTAGCAGTAGTAAAGAATAACCTTCTTTCACTCAAACTAATGGTTCCTGCCAATCCACTCTGTCCTGGTAAACCCAGCTGTGTGGAAAACGTATCAGATGATCCAAAATGACGTCTCAGCAAAACAGGGTGTGTCCTTAGGTAATTATAAAAATTAAAAACTGCAGGATTACAGGCTGACACCAAGACTTGATCTGAAAGTAAATGTAAATTCATCTTCAGAATTGAAAAGTTTAAGATCTGAATTGAGTGTATTATATTGTACTTTATCTCTACTATGTTGCCTTTATCCATCTGGTCTTCTGACCAATTTTATTAATAGGCCACACCAATCCATAGCATTGAACAAACAAGAACACATTTATAAAGAAAAGTGTTTCAACAAGATAGGAAAACAAAAGTTATGCTTTTTTTCCCCCCACTGCAACACATCTTTTCAGGTAACATTCTTAATTCTTGTTCTGGCATTTATCTCTTGATCAAAACACTTATGAATTGAGCTTTCACATAATTTTTAAACCAGGTGCTACTGCCTCACATATGTAGTCCTCAATACTCAGGAGACCGAGTTTTTGAAGGACAAGTTTTCAAGCCAGGCCAGGTAGGAAAGTCAGCGAGACTCTTATCTCCAAAGAGCCGCAAGTGGAACTGTGGCACATGGGTAGAGTTAGCCTTGAGCAAAAAATGCTCAGGAACAGTGCAGAGTTCAAGCACCACAACCAAACACACAAACACACACACACACAATTTCTAATCTTATCAACTTAAGTCAACTTTAAAAGTGTGTACAAGTTTTACAGTAAGAATTATAAAGCTTTTTAAACAGCAATAGATAGAACCTAAGGTACAAAACTGATTTTATATTAGTATTTCTTCAAACTCTTTTAGTCAAATGTTAGTATTATTTATGTTTAAAAAATCTATTTCAGGGCTGGGCTGGGAAGGTGGCTCAGTGGTAGAGCACTTGCCTTGCATGCATGAGGCCCTGAGTTCGATTCCTCAGCACCACATAAGCAAAAAGAAAAAAAGCCGGAAGTGGTGCTGTGGCTCAAGTGGTAGAGCGCTAGCCTTGAGCTGAAGAGCTGAGGGACAGCGCCCAGGCCCAGAGTTCAGGCCCCACGACCGGACCCCCCCAAAAAAAACAAAGAAAAACTATTTCATAATAATAGAAAACTCTGAATTCTTCATTTTCAAATGATTTAACACTCTGAAAATAAATTTAAATACATAGCCTATATTCCCAATCCACAAAGCCACAAAAACTCTAAATTCAAAAAAAAAATTTTTTTGTCAGTCATGGGGCTTGAACACTGGGTCTGAGCACTGACCCTAAGACATTTTGTGCTAAGGCTAGTGCTGTACCATTTGAGCCACAGCACCACTTCCAGTTTTTGAGTAATTAATTAGAGATAAGAGTCTCAGGGGGACTTCTCTGCCTGGGCTGGCTTCAAACCGCTATCCTCATAATTCAGCCTCCTAAGCAGCTAGGATTATAGGTGTGAACACTGGTGCCCAACTATAAATTCAATTTTTTATGTATCACCCTTGATACTCAACAATGGTCTGCACAATTAGCAAGTATTAATATACTTATTGATTAACCACTTGGAAATACAGCTTACCATCATCTTCTCTCACTGGTTGCTTTATTAATGTTTCCAGAGCATCACTGTAATCTTCCAAAATCCAGTATGCCATACTCCGAAGGAAAGGATCACAATGCACACTTATGTCCGATGAACTGAGTTCACTGACACGAGAATCAATGCCCAAAACTTTTTTCCGTAAAATTGATTTGTATGTTGTAGATTTATCAAATTCAGACTCATATAGTCTTGCTATTACAAGAGCTAACTGAATGTCATTCAGTTTCTCAAGACATACCTTAAAAAAATATTACCCATTAATAAGCATCTTTCATTGCAGTATAAATTTAATTAGCTTACTAACAACTAGTATAACACAGGGCTTTATTGGTCTCCAAAATGAACAAACACAGGTATGAGAATCAAATATACAGCTTGGCTTACTTTAGCAAATTTGCTTGGGAACATTTATACTAACATTTGCAAATATGCTTCCAAATATTAAATATGTGTTTCCAAAAACATTTAGACTAATAAGGATATATCAGATAAAAACTCTAAACAGTGTCAGTTTGAGCAATTTTGTTTTATTCCTGAACCACTAGTCTTTACTAATCAGCGGCAGCAAGTATGGCATTTCCAAATTAAAGGCTGTTTTGAATTTCCTGTTATGAGAATGTGAACAAAGGGCAAATTGATGCAGAAATGTTACATCTGAAATGTTCATAATTTTTTTCACATTTACTGAAAAACAATCACCGAAAATTTTTCTAATGTTCATTAAGACAAAGCCAGACATATTCAACTATGTTTAAACAAGTAGAACAAGCCAGGCACTAGTGGCTCACACCTATAATTCTAACTACTCGGATGTGATCTGAAGATCGAGGTCAAAGCCAGCCCGGAAGGAAAGTCCCTGAAACTCTTATCTCTAACTAACAAAAAAGCTGGGAGTAAAGGTGTGGATCAAGGGATAGACTACTAGCCTTGAGCACAAAAGTGAAGGGACAGCATGCAGGCCCTGAGTTTAAGCCCCAGGATCTGCACAAACCAAAACAACAACAACAAAAAACAACAAATAGCACAGATCTTTTTATTTTTTAACTTGTTCATGAAAAGAGTCATGAACTATCATTCTACCAATCATTCAAACTAAATGACAGCTTTTAAAGGCTACTATATTAACAGATACTTCAGATATTTAGCCTTGTTATTTCTAAGGTGAAAATAAAATTAAAACGAAGAGCTTAGAAAGATCATAGTGCTATTTTTAAAAGTTGTTTCATTACCTCAACTGCATCTCTCAGACAACCAGCTAAAAGAAAAAATGCTGCAGAATGTTCAAATCTTTGTTTGCCTAGCAAAGAAAATGCATTCTTCAGAGCTGCTTTACGCCACCTCTCTTCCTCAAAATTGTGTCCGAAAAATTGTGTCATTCTAGTGTCCTTTTGAGATCTATAAAGAAAAGTATAAAAAAGAATAAATTTTTGGAATTAATCTCCTAAAAATTATGACTTAAAAATTAGGACTGAGGCAGGTGGATTGCAAATTTGAGTCTGGCCTACACTAAATAACAAAATCTGTTTCAAAATAACCCCTAAACTATACCCCAACCCAGAGTTGGGACTCAACAGAAACATTTGCTAGTTCATAACTTATTATATATCCACTAATTTTTCCAGTAAAAGCAGAGTAATATTCCTGATGAAAATCTCAGAAGTTATTTAAAATCTGTCAAATTAGAAAGAGAAATTACTATTGAACTCATGCAAAACAATTATACCAATATACTTAATATAAAGTAATTTATTGCTAATTTTCTTATACTAACATCTGTGCTTCCAATTTAAACCTCACCAATAACCTTTCCTTCTTGCCTATTGAACATGATTTTGGTGATCAAAGTAATTCCTTGGATCCTGAATTAGTCTTATAGAAAACTGATTTGGAAGCATGAACCAAAAACAAATGACAAACTACCTGTTTTGTTCATCAAGTACTACTGAGGAAAAGAGAGAAAGGAATGAACTCAGGGCCCCAGGAGGAGACAGCTTTGGGGAAGTCTGGTCCATGGGCTCTCAATAGAGCCAAAGATGGGTGCTTATCCTAGACTCCGCCAATTCATCTTCTTTCCCAACTCAAATGCCAGTTTCTGGTTTAGCGACTTTTGTACAGAAACATCATAAGAAACTCTTAAAATTAAAATGACATTATCTGGAATGTTCCCCTGTGGAAAACACCCAAGCATTCTCCCTATAAAATCATTCCTTAATCACAAAAACAGGCAAGACTCTACCTAACTCAACAGCAAGTAAAACATGTCTTACTATACACAGTTATACCTATAATATCATTCCTTAATCACAAAAACAGGAAAGACTCTACATAACTCAACAGCAAGTAAAACACATCTTACCATACAGTTATGCGTTATAAAAAGTTTTTAACCTACCTGTACAATCCCCAGATAACAGCTTTCTTTTTCATTGCAAGGTAAAAAATGGCAGCATCTAAAGGATCATTATTTCTATAAAAGGCTGCTTTAGCTACCTACAATTAGAAAATACTGGTCAAATTTTCATAGAAAGTCTCTAAGTGAACAAATAATTTTATGTCTATTTAGCACTGACACATATAGAGAAGAATACAAAGAGAAGATAATAAGACTACCTTTTATCACAAGCTCATCTATACTGATTTACTTTGCTATACAAACTTCTCATGGTAAAAACCAGAAATATATTATTAAATGAACTATAATTTTTGGAGTTACTTTTAAAAATTCCTTCACTGTTGTAAAAATTAAAACTCCCCAAAGCAAATTTCTGCTCCAAAACAAAAGGGAGTAAATAACAACAGAGGAGATATGGTATGAAATTTAAACAAACATCCAAAATATATTCTTTTTTTACACCAAATAAATACACTCACTTTTTCTATGCATGTGCGTAAGATTCGCTTATTCCGGACCCACCACCCCACACCCATGGCTTTTAATTCAGACCAGGTGGGGTCATGCTTCTGCATTGCAGGCAACATGTTCAGTAGTTCTTCTTCTGCTACTGAATGAAATGCCCAAGCAAAATGACTGGTAGACAGGCCTGAAAAAGGGGAAAAAGTAATATTAATAATGATTAACACATGAGGAGGCTGCAATGCTTGGTAAGAAATATACGCATTATCCTGCCCATGCAATTGTAACCCCTCTGTACAGTATGTTCACAAATAAAATTAAATTAAATTTAAAAAAATAAAAAAAATAATGATTAACACAAACTAGTGCTACATCTATTTGCAATGAAAGTACATAAACTTTTATAAAATACACAGTCACACTTAATTTTTAAGTTTCCTGAAGGGCTACTTTTTAATCGTTGGTTCTCCAAAGAACTCTAGTACTTTAATGTGCAATATATCTTGTACAATTAATACACATTTACTTGAGAAGATTTGCAAAATGCTTATAGCAAATGTCACTGTGATGAAGGAATTCTGTTCTCTGGTTGTAAACTATGACTCACTTTAGGAGATGAGAATACTTGAAGCATTCCTACAGAAGGGAAGGCATTCCTCTTGAAGCTGCTTCCCCTTCCTTTGGCCACTATTTGTTTTATGGAAATAACTCCCATGAATTAAAGAACATCAAAAAGCATAACTGAGTGGAATAAGTGCTAGCACTACAGAACCTCCAGAACCAAAGCATATATATATTCAAGTTCAATCGCAAAACTGAAATATATAACTGCAGACTAGCTATTTAGTTTCTTAGTGCCTCTGTTTTTTCATTTGTAAAATGTGAGTGATCCAGCCAGGTGCCAGTGGCTCACGCCCATCATCCTAGTTACTCAGGAGGCTGAGATCTGAGGATCGCAGTTCAAAGCCAGCCCAGGCAGGAGAGTCTGTGAGACTCTGATCTCCAATAAATCATCAGAAAACCGGAAGTGGTGCTGTGGTTCAAGTGGTAGCATGCTCACCAAGAGCTGAAAGACAGCAACCTAGGCCCAGAGTTCAAGCCCTACAACTGCAAAAAAAAGGGGGGGGGGGGCTGGGAATGTGGCTTAGCAGTGGAGTACTTAGCTAGCACGCATGAAGCCCTGGGTCTGATTCCTCAGAACCACATAAACAGAAAAAGCCGGAAGTGGCGCTGTGGCTCAAATACTAGAGAGCTAGCCTTGAGCAAAAGGAGCTCAGAGACAGCGCCCAGGCCCTGAGTTCAAGCCCCAGAACTGGCTAAACAAAAAAAAAAAAATTACAGAGGATAAAATAATACTAATTTCCCTCAAATGTACAAAATATTCAACTTTCCAATATACTTCTTCCTTAAGTCTATTTTTACAATTAAAACTTCTAATGCCCAGGGGTGCTGATGACTTACACCAGTAATGCTAGCTAAATTGAGTTAGGATATGGTTCAAAGCCATCCTGGGCAGGACAGTCCGTGAGATTCATATAATTAACCACCAGAAAACCAGAAGTGGTGCTGTGGCTCAATGTGGTAGAGCATCAGCCTTAAGCAAAATAGGTAAGGGACAGCACCCAGGCCCTGAGTTCAAGACCCATGACAAAAAAAAATCCAATGCTGTATGAAAGAAATATGAGTAAAGTTAAAAAATAAACTCTGAATGTGTCAAATTTGTCAACATTCTCACATGTGCTTGCCTTACTTCTCCTGGAACAGACTAATATAAAAATCACCTTGGCGAAGGAGTTGGGCTCGACAGGCTGGAAGGGAAGTTGTAAGAAAGGTATGGAGCCGAACAGCCAGAAGAAACTTTAACCCACATTCATCAAGCGTTTCTCCACCTACAATCAGGAGATAAGTATTATTTTCACACATAAAAGCGTTTTATAAGCAAATCACAGAACTAAGTTTCTGATAGCGCATAGCACAGCACAGCACAGCACAGCACAGCACAGCACAGGACAGCACAGCACAGCACAGCACAGCATAACACAGCACAGCATCACATAAAGGATAAAGCATTCTAAAACTGACAGAAGTGGTTATAATCGCAAATACTGTGTAACATTGATCTTACCTACACAATTTTAAAAAGGGAAAAAAGAATATAGGTATATAATTTAGAAAATAAAGGTTAGGGAAGTGGCACTATAGCTCAAGTGGTAAAGCGCTAGCCTTGAGCTGAAGAGCTGAGGGACAGCGCCCAGGCCCAGAGTTCAAGCCCCACGACCAACCAAAAAAAAAAAAAAAAAAAAAGAAAAGAAAGTTTAGAATGAATTGACTCAGTGTCTATTAACATTATAATCTGAATTCATCTGAAATGACTCAAACATAACTGAACTTTCAAACTATCTTTTCTACAACATATGTTACAGTGATACCTTTTCTTTTCTTTTTTGTTTTTGGTCAGTCATGGTGCTTGAACTTGGGACCTGGGTGCTGTCTTTGAGACTCTTTGTACTCAAGGCTAGCACTCTACCACTTGAGCTATAACACCATTGCTGGCTTTTTCTAAGTAGTTTACTGGAGAAAAGAGTCTCACAGACCTCTCTGATGGATTCAAACCACAATCCTCAGATCTCAGCCTCCTGAGTAGCTAGGATTACAGGCAAGAGCTATCAGCAACTGGCAGCAAGATTTTCTGTATTGATTGAAATCATGTATCCATCCCAATAATCTGTTAATAATGGTTAAATAGTACATGGACCTGATTTTACTTCATATGATCAAAACTATAAAATATCTCTACCAAACTCACCTCAAAAATAGTTATCTATTCATATTCCTCTTAAAATGATCAACTTATTTTCTGAAAATTTATAACTTTTTAAATAATATTAGTTTTGTCTTTATTTTCCTTTTAGTTCCCTTAATTTAAAGGATACAGGCTACTGACCTATACCTTGTATGACCAGTGTTTCCTTCAATTTAATTTTACCTTGGCTTTTGTCTCTGCTTTCTCCAATATCAGTGCTTGTTGTTGCAATTGTGTCAGCCAAGGCCATCAGAGACATCTGCTCCATCCGGCTGAGTCCTGGTAGACTGGAATGCAGTAAGTGGCCAGAAAGAACCTGAGCATGCTCAGGTCCAAAGTAAGTCGGATTGTACTGTGAAAGGTCAATGACTCTGGGCTTTGTATTTTCTTCCCCTGATTCTAACACATGAATATCAGGCATTAGAGCTGAAGTCTGAAAAAGCTCATCATAACTTTCTTTGGACAACTGGTTTGATTTATTGAAGGAACTCTCATTACTGGATTTCTCCAAAGATGAGTAACATCTATCATCATCTGCTGCAAGCAAGGCATATAAAGGAAGTGGAGGAACAGAATCTATTTCTGTGTAATCTGTACTTTCAGTCTTGTTGAACGCCTGGGGGTCTCTGGTAGTGGTTCCACTAGCACTGATGGTGAGAGACCTTAGACGGCGATCATGATTGGACTCAGCTTCACTCAGAGCCACAACCTCCCCAGCAATGCACTTGACCAGATGTGACAAGATGGCCTTTGCTCTCCGAACCTTGCCAAGGTCCATAAGTTCCAAAAGCTGCAAGGGATGGTACTGAGGCAAGGTTGGGGAAAGTACATGAGCTGCTTCAAAGAGTCCTGAATCTTCCATATCCACTGAAGGATCCAGGGCAGTCTTCTTCCCACAGATTTTCTGAGCAAGACTAGTCATGGATCGAGTCAGAGTTTTCTTTGTAGGCTGGAGCCCAGAACTTGATGAGTTGCTCTGTCTTACTAAGCTGAGTACAGAAGGAGTGCTCCCACCGTACGAATCTGTCCTGGCAGGTTCTTGTTTAGAAGATGGCTGCCACTGGGAATATACATGCATTTCACAATCCATTCCTACCACCAGGATGCCATCCCGGACCCACGACAAAGAAACAGGAAAAGGGGGGGAGCCCTCCACAGAAGAAACCAAGTCCACACTTCGTAAGAGGACAAATTTAGAAAGAGGCACAACTTTAGTACTCTCCCACAGAGGAAATGCTAGGCTCTCCTTACCAATATGTTCTTGTACCTTGCCAGACAGAGGTCCATACATAAAAAGTTTTGATCCAATTCCAACAGTCAGGATATGAGAACCATCTTCTCTAGACATCCAGTCCAAGTGAACTAAATGCTTTGTGTTTGTTGTAATACTTTCTTTACTGAATGAATAGGTCTCTTGCTTATTATAGGCCACTAAATTGCTATCGATGCTAATGCCAGAATCCAACATTGTGCTTAAATCATCTAAATGAATTGTCTGTTCAAGGACCCAACATGAGCCTCCGGTAGACTCACATTCAAAAATACTCACGTGCATCACAACGTCCTGAGAAGATCTACCATTAGATGCAAGGTGCTTATATGCCACTGCTAAACGATTTGTATGTGCACAGCTAACTTCTATAGGCCTACCCGGTACAGATATACTACTATTGCTCTGAAGTCCATCTTCAATAAGCAATGGCCATTCTTCCCAAATGTACGTAAGATCTATTTTTCCATTCTTTGAGGTAGCAGGTTCTCCATCTGTTACTCGGCATCTCCAAAACCTTACTTTCTCATCCGAGCACGAAGTGGCCAATAAGTAAGGGGCACTGCATACAGGATATATAGAAGAAGAACTCAGATGTCCTAAAAGGAAAATAATCCATTAACAAAACATCAAATGTTGTTGAAGAATTTTTACAGGCTGGGCTTTAGTCCTTTAGTATGAACTACTAAGAATATGACTATCTAAGGATACAATAAAATCGGAAAGAGGCTTTTAATGATATCAAAAAAGTATATAAAAGAAAATATTTACTAGGGAAGGCATAGAATTAGTACCATATCCAGGCGCCGGTGGCTCAGGCCTATAATCCTAGCTACTCAGGAGGCTAAGAGCTGAGGATCAAGATTCAAAGCCAGCTTGGGCAGGAAAGTCTGTGAGGTCTTATCTCCAATGAACTAACAAGAAACCAGAAGTGGCCCTGGTTTGAAGTAGTAGAGCACTAGCCTTAAGTGAAAAAACTCAGGGATAGCACCCAAGCCCTGAGTTGAAGCCCATGACTAATTAAAAAAAGAAAACATTGCCAAAACCTATAGCTAAAATCTAACTGCAATAACAAGTACTTTAATTTCTGCATTTTACAGGTAGGGATACTTTACTAGATACACTGCCTTGTGCCTAAGTAAAAAGACTAAGACAATTAAAAACCTGAATTCTGGATCAGTGGTAGAGCGCTTGCTTTGCATGCAAGAGGCCCTGGGTTTGATTCCTCAGTACCACATAAGCAAAAAAAACGGAAGTGGTACTGTGGCTCAAGTAGTAGAGCGCTAGCCTTGAGCTGAAGAGCTGAGGGACAGCACCCAGGCCCAAATTTCAGGCCCCACAAGCAACAAAAAGACAAAAAAAAAAAAAAAAACTGAATTCTTTGCTAGTTTATCCAATTCAACACATCTGTAACAATGTGTCAGCTTTCCCTGGCTTCTCTGTCTTTCTGATTTTTTATACAAATGTGAATGGCCTATTTCACTAAGTATTGAATGGTACTTTTAAATGTCCTACACAACTAAGGTGTGTGTAATATCACTGATGCTGAGATGATTCCTCAGTGGACCTTACCAATTGTGCATGCTCAATCATATACTATCAACTTCCTAGAATGGGTGAGCGAGTGAGAACAAGAGAGAGATCACCACCTCAAGCTCTGCGAGGTGCGCTGTGGTCGCAATGCTCTGGAGCACTGCGGAGTCTAGTATGAACACAGAGGTGTGGCTCTGTTCTAATCCAAGTATCTCTGACAAGTGTACTTCTGTCCTGAACTATGACAATAAAAAAATGCTACATGAACACTTGAAAGAACATGTTGAAAGTAAATCTTACGTACGTTAAGTTTCTCTGAATTAAAGTTCTCATTATATTAATAGGCTGAATAAAAGTTACGTATGCTACTTTACATATGCTAATGCTTTTTGCCAAACAAAACCGTATGTTTCCACAGGAGTTCTTTCAAACAACTTTGCCCAAAGTTAAATAGAGTTACCTTGATAAATATTTTTGGATTCTGTACAATTACTGTGTTATTTTCATTAGAATTTAGTAGTGAATACAAGCTAATAACAATAGCTCCTTTCTTTTGCCCTTACTTTTCATTTGTTTTGTGACAGAGTATCTATATGTAGACTAGTTTGGCTTCAAACTAACCATATTGGCCAAGTGAGACTTGAATTCATGATCCTCCTGCCTCAGCTTTCCAAGTGCTGGTTTTATAGGTATGTACAACACCTTGCTTAGCTTTTCAACAAGCTTTACTTTTCCCAGTATTTTAAATTAAAATATACAATGGAACCAGAATTTAAAAGTTGGAACACTGTCAATACTCCCAACTCCTGCGAACTTCACCATTCAGAAAACCTTAAATACTTGATAACAACATGGGATTCTGAATAGCATTCAAAGCCATCCAGCAAAATAATTAAATGAACAGACTATCAGATGCCAGTGCTGCATATCTGCAATACTAGCTACTTGGGAAGCAGTTCGATCCCAGCCCGGGCAAAAGTAAAAAGTACTTGAGACCCCATCTCAACAATACCAGGTACAGTGGTATGCATCTGTTCTTGCAGCAATGACAAAGGTTGAAACTGGGAAGATCACAGTTCCAGGTCACTCCGGACAGACAAGACCATGCAACACCATCTCAAAGGGAAGAGGCTGGGTCTAGTGGAGCACACTTGTTATTCCAGTTATGATGGGAGGTCCAAAATAGGAGGATCATAGGCTAAGTACAAACCTGGGCAAAAAGTGAGACCCTGAGAAAGTGGCTCAGTGGTAGAGTGCTTGCCTTGCATGCATAAGGCCCTGAGTTCGATTCCTCAGTACCACATAAGCAAAAAGAAAAAAGCCGGAAGTGGTGCTGTGGCTCAAGTGGTAGAGCGCTAGCCTTGAGCTGAAGAGCTGAGGGACAGCGCCCAGGCCCAGAGTTCAAGCCCCACGACCAACCAAAAAAAAAAAAAAGTGAGACCCTATCTCAAAAATAACCAGTGCAAAAAAGGGCTAGGGGTGTGGCTCAAAGGGAAAGGACCTGTCTAGCAAGTCCTCAAGTTCAAACTCTAGGATATCAAGAAAGAAAATAAGACAGAAAAGCAGAAAAGAACAAAGACACAGTTGACCATGAAAATAAAATAATCAGTAATAAAGAACATGGATGCTATATTTGTATTCTTGATACCCTAGAATAAATGATTCTTGATCTCTAGTGTATACAAAAATCATCTTGTTCACTAATTAGAACAAACTGCTAGCCTCTATCCTAGAGTTTGTGACTAACAACCACATTTTGGCTATGAAAATGAAATAATTCGGTGATATGAAAATTGAAGTTTCAGAGCCTAGTCAGGGTACATAATTTTAGACCCAAGGCAGAAGGAATGTTTGAACTCAAGTTCAAGACCAGCCTGGAGAATATAGAGAGAATCCATCTCAAAATCGTAAGTAACAAAGGATTTCTTTATTTCTTCTCTGTATTCTTGACACGGGTGCATGAGAACCACCTGGAAGGCTGCAGATTTCAGGGGTACTAGAAACATTCATGGCTGTAAAGTATCTTTGCATAAAATTCACACACCTGCTGATGGCTTCACACTTATGATCTCAACTCCTTCAGGCAACTGCAACTCCTGGCTGTACACCATTTCAGAACACAGAGACAACTTGCTGGTGCTCTGGAGATTGGCTCTGCAAGCCTGAAACTTCTGTGCAAATGGAGTTGGGATCTTCTCCGGAGAAGAAGAATAATGTTCTTCTGGTTGCCAAACTACTTCAGAAATTTTCATATCTATTCTTTCATCTATGAAACATAAGAAAAAGAGCAAAAACTGGGAGGGAACCCTATATAGATTACAATAGCTACTTAAAAATCCAGTAAGGCACCAGTGGCTCTTGCCTATAATCCTGGCTACTCAGAAGGCTGAGATTGAGGATCACAGTTTGCAATCAGTCCAGGCAAGAAAGTCTATGAGTTTGTTATCTCCATAACTATCCCCCAAAAGCCACAAATGGAGCTCTGGCTCAAGTGGTAGTATATTAGCCCTGGGTAAAAAGAAAGCAAAAAGACAGCACCCAGGTCATAATTTCAAACCCCAGAACCAGCATGCATGTGTGCGTGTACACACACACAGTTCAAAAGATAAACTTGTAGACATGTCAACACAATTCTTTACAGCAAGAAAATGAGAGAATTATTTTGTTTCTTAATGAATAAACCGTAATAATCACTACTACATAAAATGACTGTAGGTAATATGCCCTGAACTGTCTAATTATGCAAAATTTGTTAGTAATTAGGCCAATTTAAAGTTAAGGAAAAAACCCAAACTCACCCAACGAGACAGGAATTGATTTTAAATGTAAGTTCCACATGCGTAACAGTGAACGGTTGTCCTGAGTACACTCTATCACAACCAGGTAGAATTTTTCAGAAAATCCATTAGATAAGCTGCCTGTTGGCATCAGTGATATTTTTCATGTTAGATAATAGAGACAATTACTAATTTTAAGATTAACATAAATGGCTTTTTTAGAGAAAGAAAATGATAATTTTATGTAGAGTTCTAAGTGGACAGTGACATTATAGAGTATGTTCAACTTCTTCACCAAATGGATTTGTATTAACATTTTAACAATTATATGCAGGCTATGCTTAAATTTCATTTTTATCTGATATGCTTTAAAAGTCAGATATTACAGTTATCACTACCAACTATTCAGAGAGTAAAACATATTAACCAAAAAATGTCTAAAAGGAAAGGAACCATATGATAACATACATAGCAAAATATATCACGATGGAAATTATGTGGCCAAAGTCTTTCAAAGTAATTAACTTTCGTAACAGAAACACTTCTATTCATGTTTCTTATCTAAGGATCAATATAAGTATTCATAACAGATATTATTCAAAAATATCTTAACTCATACTACATAATTTATACAACATTAATGTTGCACAAATCAAAAATGCACATAAAACCACTATTTCATTATTTCCTTTTAGCAATAAATTTTAGTGCAAGTTTTTTTGATTATATACAAAATTATGTAAAAAAATTATAAAATGATATAAATCAAAATATGTAAAAACTGAAAGCAACTAATATTAGGGGAAAAAGTTTTGAAACAACATTAGAAATGATAACCATATCTTAAATTACCTTGAAACAAGAGATTTAAATGAAGAGGTAAGTTTGATAATGCCTTCTAGATGGGTCAGGCATTCAAATCATAAGAATTAAGAGGAAGGAAGAATTATGGGAAAAGAAAAAGACCAATTCAATCTACTTGTGATAACTTCACCGAAACAAAATACCTTAATAATGTCTGTAAAGTACCTTTCTTCTTGACAAAAGAACAAAAGAATATAAAAGTATAACTCCATGGGAATTTTCTGGGAAACTCTAATAATAAAATAATGGTAAGATGGGTACTAGTGGCTCACGCTTGTCATCCTAGCTACTCAGCAGGCTGAGATTTGAGGCTCACAGTTCAAAGCCAGCCTGGAAGCAAAGTTCATGAGAATCTTATCCCCAATGAGCTACCAGAAAACCAGAAGTGGCACTGTGGTTCAAGTGGCAGAGCTCAAGCCTTGAGCAATAAAAGCTCAGGGACAGTGCCCAGGCCCTGAGTTCAAACCCCAAAACTGGCACATATACACAAAAAGCCAAAACCCTACACATTAGTAATAAACACATGCAACTCTTAAGAAAATACTTTTATTTTTTTTTCTACTTCCTGGTTAAGAATAAAAAGATGAGCTGGGTAGGCTGGCACACACCTTTCACACCAACTGCTTGGGAAGCTAAGATTAGAAGGATTGTGGAAAGTTCACACGATTCAGTTTCAAGAGAAAAACGCTGGATAGGGTGATATATACTAGCTATAATGGGAAGTACAAACAGGAAGAATGCAGTCCAGTCCAGCCCAGGCTACACAATGATACTATGTTTCAAACAAAAACAAAAAATAGCACAAATGCCAGCTCAGTTGCTCATGCCTACAATTCTATTTGCTTGGGAGGTGAAGGTCAGGAAAAGATTGTTGATCAGGGCCAGCTTGGTAACAATCCAGCTGGACATGGTGGCTGATGCCTGTAATGCCCTCTACGAGTAGTGCAGGTTAGAAGACTACAGTCAGACACTAGGCCAGGCAAAAAATGTACCCTATCTGAAAAATAACCTAAGAGCAAAAAAGCCTTTACAGGCATGGCTCAAGTGGGAGAGTCTCTGCCTGCCTAGTAAGAGCAAAGTCGTGCGTTGAAAGGCCAAAAATAAAATTAAGCATATACAGAACAATTTTAAACTTCAATACATTTTGAAACCATCTTTATTAACTTCGATCCATCATTATTAACCATCTTTATAAGCATGGATCCATCTTTATTAATTGCCTAACATACTCTGATATTTTTCTTTACCTGTATCAGATGGAATGTTATCTTTCCCCAGACTTTTCTTCTCCAAGTTATTCAAAATGAAATCTTCTTGAAACACATGAAGAAGCTGGGTTTTTCGGCCATGCTGCATGTAAATAAATACTACCATAAGTTGATGTGATGTGTGTACTGTTTATCTAATGCGACAGAGCAGCATATAATACTTACAAGTTTGGTAATGGGATCTAATGCAATAATGCATCCTGGCCTGGCTGTGGACTGCTGACTGACAATGTTAAACACTTCACCAACATATTTCTATTTAAAAAAATAAAACAAATTAAAGTTTTAATTCAGTAAGTTAAGCATAAACATGAAATTTCAAGCACAACAATAAAAATAATTTTCAAGTGGGCTGCACATAGTTCAAGTATTAATACTCTAGGACTTTACCTCACTAGGAATTAAAAAGGCCTGAGTAGCCGGGCGCTGGTGGCTCACGCCTGTAATCCTAGCTACTCAGGAGGCTGAGATCTGAGGATCGCAGTTCAAAGCCAGCCCGGGCAGGAGAGACCATGAGACTCCTATCTCCAATAAACCACCAGAAAAACCGGAAGTGGCGCTGTAGCTCAAGTGGTAGAGCGCTCGCCTTGAGCTGAAGAGCTGA